GATAAAATGACTGAGGTCAGTTAGCCCATCTTGGAAAATAGCAATTTATCACGACGTTTTCCAGCAGGAACCCTGTGAATATCAACCTGACATGGTACATTGCTGGCAGTGGGATTATTAGTCCACATTACTAAGAATTCCCGTCCCCCCCTATAGGGACTAGGGGTCCCGTTGCTAGTCATATACCATGTCAGATTGACCTTGAATAGGAAACTACTGAGGTTAATTCGCCACGATAGGGTAAATGACCTAACAATATGGCCATCCTACCATCCTCCACTGGTGCCCGTTAGTGGATACCGTTAGCGCACGCAGGTGCACTATTCATTAATAAAAACTACACTAAACTTATAGGAGTGGATATTAACTCAAAAAGTAAGGGACAAACTGTAAACTATTATAAAGTGACGTTGGAGAAGGATGTAAAGAAGTAGCTAGAAAGATAAAGTAAGAATAAAGAAGTACTACATAGGGGGAAAGAAGAAAGGCAGATATAGAATACTATAGAAAATAGATGAGGGAAAATGTTAGGACGCGTGATACGGAACGATGAATTTATGAAAATTATTATTGAGAGAAAAATAAAGAAAGAAGAAGGGGGAGAGGAAGTCCAGGGGACGGCTATACAAAGCAAATTAAAGACTCAATTTGAGTCGTGTCGTAACAACACTTAAAGAGCATGATGGAAGATCGTGTAAAGTGGCAAGAGCTCCACCGACAAGAGCGTAGCTCTTAAATTATGAATGAATGTAACTTGTAGGATTTTTAGGATCAAGGTCACGCAGACAAAGTATTAAGCAGTAGCTAGGCAATAAATGCACGTTATTTTGGATGGTAGCCACCACAGGGAAACGGTCTTGTGTCAAATCAATGACAAAAATTGTGCAGTACGAAGGAATACACTAAATGTAATATATTTGGCTGTTTGCCTTTTGATCGTGGTCTTAAAAAAGATATATTCACAACACATTGTCTTTGGTATGGTGGATTCTTTTTTTAAATTGTACTGATAAATTGAAATACTACATTATTAGAGTGGTAGATAACCCAGTCAATTAATAGTCAGTTAATATAACTTATATCTTATATATAAAATTCTCGTGTCACAGTTTTCGTTCCCATACTCCTCCGAAACAGCTTGACCGATTCTCATGAAATTTTGTGAGCGTATTGAGTAGGTCTGAGAATCGGCCAACATCTATTTTTCATCCTCCTAAATGTTAGGGGTAGTCCACCCCTAAATTTTTTTTTATTTTAAGGCAAAACAACTTTTTCCGAGACAGCTAGTAATATATAAAATTCTCATATCACAATGTTATTCACCATACTTCTCCAAAACGGCTTGACCGATTTTTATGCAATTTTATATGTATATTCAGTAGGTCTAAGAATTGGCTAATGTCTATTTTTCATATCCCTAAGTGATAAGGGTTGTGCACCCCTAACATTTATTTTTATTTTGTTTATATAGCATTAAAAATACATACAACTCTAAATTTTCACCCCTCTATCACCAACCCCTATTTTTTAATAGTGATTTTCATTTATATGGCAAAACAATGTCGTCGGCCGACCGTCAGATTGTTTGTTATATCAATTATATAAAAAATCTAAATAATGTTTTATTACTAAAAGAAAGTAATAAAATAGTATATTTGTCAAAAATAATCTTTTAAATCGGTTCTTTACCGGCGCTAAAAAATCGCCCAAATTACAAACATATTCCTTTTTTATATCGGTTAAAGAACAAAGAACATCGCGAACCTGACCTATGATTAATTTCTTCGACTTATCTATTATCTAAGCCACATAATCTATGGATTACTTTAATCCACTATTATAATGTTAAGATAAAAATTAACGATGTATATTTCGCTTGTCGATGGTCAATGAACGCCATTTGCAATGCTGCCAGGGCTGTCAAAACCGCGTCTATATATCGTCGGTTGAATAGAAAAATGCAAATTTTTTACAACACAAGCATTTATAGTTTTTTTTTTTAATTTATTTAAGTAAATTACTTTTTCCTTTAAAGTTTTAAATTTACACAGAATTGAATTATATATCATTTTAAAAGTATTTAGATAATGATTGAGACGGCGTGGTTAATTTAATTGACTTATATAAAAAGGAGGCAATTCTAGCCTCTAATTTTGAAAAATGTATTTCTCTATTTAATGACGATTTATCTTAGTGATATTATAAACGTGAATATTTGTAAGTATGGATGCATCGATGGACGTATGTGTATTTGTTACTCTTACATACATTGTAACTATCTTCTTAAAGTAACCACTTTTTTTGCGAATGTAAATTTACTTATCTATCTTACTACTATTATAAACACGAAAGTTTGTGAGTATGGATGTTTGTTACTCTTTCACGCAAAACTACGGAACGCATTTTGATGGAACTTTACAAGTATTGTTACTAATACATCAGAATAACACATTTAAAAAGATATTTATGTAAATTGCGCGAAATATAATGGTAAATGTCAAGTAAGTGTGATGCAGACGATGTTGCGCGTGTATATATAAACAGAATGCTATGGACCTAAACATCGTTATGAGACTTCCTTGGATTGAAGAAGAATTTTTCCATTCACCAAGAGTTTGTTACGTTAGATTCCAGGGGGAAACGCATGAAGGTCAATGGTGCAATCCCATTTCCTATTATGTACATATTTTATGCATTATTTACAAAATAATATATTTAAGTAAGTATTTCTATAAATTGTTTAGTACCCATAGTACAAACTCAGCTTGATATTTTTGTTTCGAGATCGCATAGCCTTATAATGCATTTAAAAATAAAAATATTAAATTTGAAAATAGAACGTCACGTTTAGTATATCGCTATTGTTTTTGTTTTTTTTTATGATTTCTTTCAGTTCTCGAACATTCCGCGGCGTCACCTTTAAATATATCCGGTAAAATTACTATAACATTTTTTTTAATTTATTATAGTAATTTAATATTATGAACAGTAATATTTCTCCATCAGAACAATTATTACTAATTAGTTTCTAATTTAAATATCTTACAAAACATTCCAAAGTCAAGTTCAATGACCGATAAAAACTGTCACCTGATGTCTATACGATTATCATTAGGGTACTGCTGAATGAATGAAACCAAGCAAGGTTTTTATAAAACAATATAATATTTTTTTAAATAAAAGTTTATATATATATTTCATGTAGGTGCACTATTTTTAGAGGTGACTTTGTAAAAAGGATCTGCTTTTGTAACTACCGCATAAAAATAAAAATAAATTTCTAAAACGATTTACTTTGTAGAGCTGTGCCCGCGGTTTCAATTGCATGATATTTATAGCCGATGTGTTATTCTAATGTATAAGCTATATTATTGTAAAGTTTCATCAAAATCCGTTCAGTACTTTCTGTGTGAAAGAGTAACAAACATCTATCCACACTAACAAACTTTCGTATTTATAATATCAATAATAAGATTTTCTTAAGAAAAATATATGTGTACTTTATTTATAAGATGTATAAAAAAAAATCTTATTTATTAAGGGATAAATAATAAGGGAAGGAGATTATTAATAATGTGGATTAATAACCCCATTGCTAGCAATGTACCATGTCAGGTTGACCTCCACGCGGTTCCCCCTGGAAACCATCGTGATAAATTCATGGTGAATTTATCACGATGTGCTAACTGACCTGACCTCATTCTCATCTTATCGTCCTACAGGTGCCCCGCCAGCGTATATCGTTAGCGCATGTAGGTGCACCATTCCATTATCATCCATAAAAAATGAATTAATTATTTAATACTATTTTATTATATTAAACTAATTAATACTACACACAAAAAGGAGGGGAGAGGATTGTTAGAAGTACTTGTAACCTATTGCTAACAATGTATGCAATTAAATTCTATCTATATTCCCTTAAATAGAAAGACAAAAGCAACGAGCTATTTTTATATTTCTAATACTTAGCAACCCTACTGGCTGTATTAATCTCCGCACTCCGCAGTTCATCGCGAACCGCTCGTGCCGACTGACGCGTGCGAGCACAGAGAACGTAAACAAAGAACATTGTGTTCGATATTTGAATTCACGATAAACTCGCGGTTGTTTACGCGGCCCTATCCCACTGTTTTTTATCTTTTTTTATTAGAATATTCTGTGTTCTATGCCAGGTATTTGTGCTCTAAATTTGAAATCAATTGGAGGGAAAATAGATTAATGTAAATACAAAGTAACTACAATTGCAGGTGATCAGTGTTGTTTACAATTGTCTATGTCAAGGCTGTTATAAGACATGGGGAATAAAAATAAACTTGTTAATATGTATTATATATTAATTGCATTTGTGAATTGGTTATTTTATTAGTTTCAACACTAATCTTATCAGATATCAAATACAATTTTGAATATAGAATCATTAATAACTTACTTATTACTCTGTGTATATTTTATACTCAAAGGTACTGTGATAAAGTTTTAGTTTCAGTACAACGACATATTTTGTTTTGTTACCGAGTTCAAATGTTATATACATTTGCTTACAACCGATTGATTAATTAATGAATTGATTATCCTCAATTTCTTTGTTTAATTTCCAACATTTTTACATTCAGTTCAACTTGTAATAGACACTTTCATCTACAGGAGTTTGATTTTTAATATGCAATTCAATTCATATCAAATTAAATTCTAAATATATGATAATACGCGTTTACATACGTGATCTGTATTAGATTGTTGTTGTTATCTGTATTAGGTACGTATTGGAGAAATTGCGTTTTATTTTGTCAAATGTAACATGTTTATATTGCTTCATCAAGCCTATTTTTAACTTGTTTATCAACAATGTTAAATTATTCTTAATTTATTTGCTTTAAATTAATTTAATTGAGAATTGAATCGCATTTTTAATCTAAGCTATCTTCAGGTTTAGTTAAGTCCTTTATTATCGAGACAGCTAGGGTGTTGAAGGTCATACTCCCTTTGTCCCAATTTAGAAAGATTCCCGCGAAGTGAAGTGATTTGGCACCGCACCAAAGACAAAACTTGTAAACTTTTTCATCTCAGTGACAAGTGAAACAATAAAAATGTATCACGTAAGGTCGCCCGTTGCATTGACGCGCCATCATGTTGTGAAAAGAAAGTGACAGTTCATCAAAATGTCCGCAGTCAAACGCAAAAAGCGGATTGATAAAGCGTGCAGTAATCAAAACAGGACTCGCATAGACTAATTTTTTTTTTAATATACAATTTTCCTAAACCTGTGTGAAGGTTTTATTTGATCTCACAATATTAGTGCTCAATACATAAAGACTGAATATATTAATTATCGTGATCATGATTGCCTTGAAGAAACTGTACGGGGATGAACTGCTGAGGCTCGCTCTAGTGCTGAGCCTGCTGAAAGCAGACCCAAACGACTACCTTGAAAGAGAGACGCAGCAACTTATAGCTGGCTTACACATCTCCAATGGATCTGACTGGTCATTAGAACAAGAAGCGAGAACGTTAATAAGACCACGTTACGTGCATCCGAAATCTCTCGACAACATACTAATAAATTACGAGAGACAACTTTTCGAGGAGTTAAATTCCCTCGGACGGTATGCCAGTTCGTATAATGAACATAATGACCGGATATTTAACCAAGTTCATACATATTTAGTGAATAATGTGGCGACTGAAACAGTCGCGCCCGTGTTGGCAACGGAATCGGTTCCCGATGAGACACCCGAAAGCGATGGGGTGTCTGCCGATGATAATGTGGCGCAGGAAGTGAAGGTTTCCGACGAGAATGAAGAGCCTCAAATTGAACCAGACGCTGTGGTCACCCTATCGGCGGATTTCTTGAACAACCACACCGAAAGCGACATATTTGCAGAAATAGCTACGAGGTCTTTTGATGTCAATGAGTTTTTAGTGCCACCAAATGAGATGCAGCTCAAAACAGAGCCGAATGAAGACCCTGAATTGCTGAATATCAATGTTAAGAAAGAGGAAAACGATGACTTGTACAGTGATAATGCTATCGACGAATTTGTGCCGTATTTTACGGCGAAATCCGAAAAATTCGAGATGGACGACACAGAGTCTGTGCTTCATCAAAATATGGCAGATTTACGAGATTATGATGAGTTTGATGATATCAAAGAGTTAAGAAACGATTTCGATTACCTAAACGTGAAACATCAAAACTTCGATCAGTATCTTCTTGAGAATACACCTTTGGATTCGGAAATGTATAATTTGGCGCCAATGTTTGACGACGAATTGGTTTTGGACGTGAAGAGAGAAAGAGCTAGCACTAGTTTCACATCAGCAAGCTCGAGTGGTGTGAGTGAAATGGATATATCCGGAAGTGAGACGCAGGACTTCAAGTCGGAGCCGGACGAGGGTCACCACAGCGGGGATGAGTTGACGCAAGAGGTTAGTTGCATGCTTTATTATTCCATGACCTACATTACACTGACCTTAATTCGTACAAAAGTTATTTTCATCTCTTACATTTAACTTAATTATGAGTCAGATGACACTAAATCTTAAGATAAGAATTATTACCACAATATTTTGGGATATTATTTAGACTGATTATATTTAAGGTAACATTTGATAAATTTAGTATTTTTTAACATTTCTGTGTCACAATTACTTCATCTAGTACAAATCGTGCTGGCTATTAGAAAACAACATTACATTTACCAAAAATGGAGTAGTATCTAATCTAACCTTCTAACTGAAAAGGGCATAGACTATAAATAGTCATGAATATCGATCAAGCAGGTTCCTACCTATGCAATGACTAAAAATAGAGATCTGTTTAAGATCTTGTCTTTCTAATGTAGCGAAAGATATAAACTGGCAAATATGTTTTGCACTTAGATTATGAAACTGGCTTTTAAAAAAAAAGTAATTCAATTGAGTTTCTTGCCAGTTCTTCTCAATTGGATCTATATACTAACTTGACGTTCATAAGCGGCTAAAATGTCCATGAAGAAATGATTTTTGAATTTGAATTTGAATTTGAAGGAAATACAGGGAAAATAATTACAGGTTAGATGAAATTTGAGGACCATGGCAATTGAATGCGCGGTGACCTTGATAAAGTTCAAGGCATACTGTTGGGAAATCCCAGAACATTGCTCGCTCTTGATTTGAGTGTTTAGCAGACATATCTATGATATCGAAGTTTTCCTGATCTAAGATATTTTACAAATATTCAAAGATGAACAAATTTCCTAAAATAACAAATATTGAAAGTTTAGGAAAGAACAAATAGTGGTGTTTTTTAGTTACATGTTTGGTTAGAACAGTGAAAGTTTCCAAGCAGTAAGCTTTTTAACTCTTTGCCCAATAGTTTAAAGACAATACAATTGGTTTTTAAGAGGAGGTTGCGTTCTTTTCTGTTGGAACTATCTTTTTAGTGTTGCAGAATTTATTACCAGCAAAAATTGTATAATTTCAAACAAAGTTTAGATTGTTAATGAACAAAATGAAATAAAAAAAGAGTAACAAACCACTAAATCGAAAATGCCATTAGTGATTTCTTGAATAAGCTTTTAAACATAGAAACTCCTGCAAAGCTTTGACGTCCTGCATTCTAAACATCGATTTTTTTTTAAACGATGGCAAACAAGCTGTTGTTGCACCTTGCAGAAACTGTTATTTTTATGAACAGTGATACGATCGTCACAAAATGAATTACAATGATTGTAGTATATCCTTCGTTACTCATTGAATAGTACTATTCCCACATATATTGACGGCGTCGGTAGTCTAGTGGTTTAGCACAGCGATTTACTTCTGATGGCCGCGGGATCAATCTCGCTCTACAAACATTTGTATTTAAGTAAGAATGTTAGTATCGGTCTGGCTGATTTCTATGTATATCATGTATGTATTAAAAATATGTAACTTACTATTATCAGTTGTCTAGTAACCATAATAAAAGCTTTGTTTCACTTAGGACTAGATTGCACTGTGTGAATTGTTCAGGGACAATATTATTCGCTATCCTTTCAACTCGTAACGTCTACATTAAAAAATATATGTTCTTGAAAGTTAACAGATAGGTTTTTGTCACGTGCGCGTTGTTGCTTAAGAAACTATAAAATATCTTACTTGAATAACAAGACATTTTTCTAATCAATTAAATGTGTAATTCTCGAATTCGTGTAATTAAATGAACCTTTTCGTTCCATGGTTATAGAAATAAAATATCGCATTTGACCAGGCCTATCTTACTGATATAAAAAACACGAATTTGTGAGCATGGATAGATGTTTGTTACTCTTTGTTTGTTCTCTTTCACGCAAAAATTACAAATAGAATTTTAATAAAACTTTACAGTAATATAGCTTATACATCAGGATAATAGAAGCTGTGAATTTCACGCGAGTGAAACTGCGGATTGAGGTAGTCTTTTATATTTAACAAATGGAAAATACACTTGTATGCACTGCAGCGCAATAGAGAAAATTATATCTCAGGGTTTCCTTAATTCTATAATATATCTGGCGCCGTACCAAGGTTTGTATGTTTATATAAAACTACTACTTTTATTTAAACACGCTAAAGGACGACACAATTGTTAAAACATTGTTGCATAAAATTATTTATCACATGTTACATCGTCGATTAAATAGAAAAATAACATTTTTAAAAATTAGAAGCTAAAATTGACTTGTATGAAAGTCAATTAAATTAACCACGTCGTCTTAATCATTATCTAAATACTTTTAAAATGATATATAATAGTTCTGTGTAAATTTAAAACTTTAAAGGAAAAATAATTTAAATAATTAAAGAAAAACTTTAAATTCTTATAAAAAAAATTAACATTCTACAATTCCCTTCCCCTATAGGCGACGGTTACCACTTACCATCAGGTGGGCCGTTAGTTTGTTTGCCGCTAATTATAAAAAAAAACTCTATCTAATCTATTAAAGATCCTCCGTACCCCCGGAGGTTAATAACCCCATAGCTAGCAATGTACCATGTCAGGTTGAACTCCACGCGGTTCCCACTGGAAAACATTACGTTAAATTCCTGGCGAATTTACCACGATGGGCTAACGGATTTGAATTCAGTCCACATTACTAACAATCCTCTTTCTCCCCTTAACATCTTTGTTTTCTTTTTGGGGATGATAATGAAGTGTAGCACCCGTCTGTGCTAACGGTTTACGCTGGCGGGGCACCAGTGGAGGATGATAGGATGAGTATGAAGGTCAGGTCAGTTAGCCCATCGTGATAAATTCACTAGGAATTTATCACGATAATTTCCAGGAGGAACCGCGTGGAGGTCGACCTAACATGGTACATTGCTAGCAATGGGAATTACTAGTTCCCATTACTAACAATACCCTTCCCCCCAACAGCTTTGTTTGCAGACTGTGGGGCCTGAAGTGTCAGCCATTCTGGTATAAGCAGTGTTTCATTACAAAGTTAATTGTTTGAGTTTGATTGGCTTTAAAAAAAAAATAATTCAATTGAGTTTCTTGCCAGTTATTCTCAATTGGATCTATATATTGAACTGGACGGCAGGGAAAAAAAAATATAATAATATAAAAAAAAATTACGTTCATAAGCGGCTAAAATGTTCTAAATGAATAAATGATTTTTGAATTTGAATTTAAAATTCTAAAGTTTGTTTTCTAGATGTCTTGCCTTGTGGACTGTGTAATTAGAAGTTAATAGTATAAACAGGCTTGTTTATGGCAACTGATAAACTTCTATGTGATAATATTTATCTACAAGTGTGAACGGATCATCTGTAATTAATATAACCGATAATTAATTACTTGTCGGTATTACGGTATACCTAATACTATAATTAGTATTATTAGTAATGCCCCGGCTTCGCTCGGGCTTTATATTTGGTTAACTTTTAAACTGTTCGACAGTAAGTTTTATTACGATTAGTGTCATGTTTATAAATACTCCTTTGAAAATAATGCGTTTTAGAATAAATTTGATTACCATAAAAAAGGTTGTAGTGAGTTTTAGAAGAGAACTTTCTGAGAGAGTTTTTTGAGGAACTTTTGAATGAGAACAAATCGTCATATATATTTTTTGCGTAAGTTTAACCGTTCGGAGCCAAATGAAGAGAAAAAATGACTATTTGTTGCCATATTTTTCACTGCTGCTTCGCTCCTATTGATCGTAGCGTGATGTTAAAGTCACAATGTAATATATATACAGTGATAACATATTTTAATAAACAAACATTCGCACCCAACACCCTTCCACACACACAAACACACGTCATTTATAGTAGAAACAAATTCTTAATATAATAATAAATAACCCTAGAAAAGCGTGATCTCCTATCACAAGTATTTAATTATGCTTACAAGGAGATCCCAGCCCCGGCTTAAGGAAATATATAAATAAGAATATGTGATTGTTGATATGTAAAAATTTTGTAAAACATCTTGGTTAATGAAATAAATTTTATTATTATTGTCTAAAATATACAATTACTTCCAATCTTCTCAATATTCTACGTATTATTCATATATTTAAAAATAAAAACAGTTTAAGATGTTTACGATTTTAAGTGATAGAAAAATGTTACAATACAATTATAGTTAATCCGCCATTTTGATGTCCCTAATTCAATACCGAAAAAAAGACAATCAAATGCAGATACGAAATAATACTTTTTTATCGTTTGTAATAAAGTATATATTTAAACAGAAATATACAATTACTTCAAAACTTCTGAATATTCTACATATTATTCATATATTTAAAAATAGAAACAGTGGAAGATGTTCATGATTTTAAGTGATATTTAATTGACATAATAATAGGCAAACAATAGTGAATCCGGCATTTTGATGACCGTAATTTAATACCGAAAACGAAATACAGGTACGAAATAATTACATTTTATCTTTTGTAAAAAAAAATGTACAATTACTTTAAATCTTCTCCATATTCTACATATTATATTTAAGAAGAGAGATAGTTTTAAATATTCATGATTTTAAGTGATATAAAAATGTTACAATAATCATTAATCCGCCATTTTGATGTCCCTAATTTAATACCAAAAACAACAGTCTTATGAGAAATAATTGTTTTTTGTCTTTTACAATACAAATATATGTATTTAAAAAGAAAAATATACAAGTACTTAAAATCTTCTTAATATGTCGCATATTATTATTATTTGTAAAAATATAAATAATATAAGATGGTCATGATTTTAATTGATCTAATTGTCACAATCAAAGTCATACCTTAATCCGCCATCTTGACAGTAATTTGATAACGAAAAGAAACGCAGATAAAAAATAATCGGTTTTAAACTAATCCAATTGTCGTTGACCCCGCGCCACAGCTGACTAATATCGATATAGTATTTGTTTATTGCATTTTGAATTCTATATTTTCTTTGTTTAAAGTCGTATATTGATAAAC